ATGGCACGATACCACTTTTTTATGTCCGATACCGATACCGATATCATAAATTTGGATATCTGCCGATACCGATATGAATCCGATATAGTGTTTTTTAATCAACAAAACTGTTTTTTAAATATCTTGCTGCATTTTGTATAAGTTCATACTCAAGTTTAAAACAACAACTACACTAAAGCTATTCTGTTATACCTGTATGCAAAAAATATTTCATAGTTCAGCAATACTGATCAATCTAATAAACTTAAACCTACACCATCCTCCCTATTCTGGTATTTTAAAGAGTACTTAGCATAAATATTAAGCAACCTAACTAATAGGGTTCCAACTCCCAGCAACAACAAAAATAAATAAATAAAAAATAGGGAACCACCCCTCACGCTCCACCTCATGATGCTTAATCGACATAATCAACCTTAATTTGATGCAGTGTGAAAAAAAATGCACAGAAATCAATTATTTTTCAAGAAATATTAAATAGATTCAACATCTTTCTTCAACAAAATTGCAGACTGCACAGATGGTACCTTCCCAAAGGAAAAAGTACTATAGCTTACTAGGGTATATTAGACTTAATAGTTACTATATACAGTAATGGACTTCTATACATTTTACATCAGATTAAAACTTTGGGTGTCAGATAATTATTTATTAAAAGCTAGACATTTTAAATGAGAATAAGAAAGAAAAGTATGTCTTTGTGCCCCCTTTTCCCTGTTAATGCCCTATCGGCCCCCCTGGCTAAACTTTGCTAGATCCGCCCCTGCACAGTTACCAGCCGTCAGCTGTAGAAAAAGATCCTGAGTAGAAAGTAATATTAAATAAATTCTAACAACAGCTGATCAAGCTTAAACGTGCTGCTGTTGTTCAGCCGCTGGTTTCCTCTTTCTGGTGCAAAGTGGGCCAAAAACAAACAAGAGAGACGGACTCGCGACAGAAAAGCCGATCAGCTGATCATTAAGCAGTTTCATGATTGAAGTAGCAGCCAAGAGAGAGGCAGTCGCTCTATATCGGTTTAAGCTTAACGCAGGAATGCTTTACAAACATTCAGAGATGGACTTACACACTTGCTTTACTTCTCTCGGGGATAACTTTGTCGGAGATGAAATGCGGGTTGCTAGCGAAGCTCCACAATGCTATCCAGACCACCGACAGGTCCGCATGCCACAGCCGCTCTATCACGTGATGCATACTGCTCCGACGTGCTAACGTTCTGAGGTGAGTTACGGCGTGTTGCAAGTTTTGTGAGGTGCTTTCGTGATATTTAATGGATCGGATTACATTTTTTATTTTTCTCCGATATCCGATCCAGTAATTTAAGTCAGTATCGGACCGATACCGATACGTAATATCGGATCGGTCCATCTCTAGTTACAACCAAGTCATGCAGAACAGCATTTCTAAATGCATCAAATTTTAAGCAGATGGGCTACAGGACCAGCTGAAGACCACATTCAGTACTATGTCTGTCAGGTAAGAACAAAAAACTGAGGCTACAATTTACAAAGGTTCACCAAAATTGCTGTTCCGATTTCTGCTGCATCATTTGGATGGCAGGGTCAGAATTTCACGTAAACAACATGAAAGCATGGATACATCCTGCCTTGATCCACCCCAACTGCTTTGTTACAGGATGCTGGTGGGTATTTCTGGGCATATTTTGAATGGTCTACACAGTCACCAGATCTCAATCCAATAGAGCACCTTTGGGATGCGGTGGAGCAGGAGATTTACATTATGGATGTGCAGCTGACAAATCAGCAGCAACTGTGTGATGCTATCATGTCAGTATGGAGCAAATATCTGAGGAATGAGTAGGGATGGGTACCGGTATCTGGTCCCATTATGGCACCGGTTCTGACATAAACGGTAGTAACCAGACCGAAAAGCAGCGCACATTTCTGTGCTTTTTTTCCCTGAGATGTCATACACTTTAGATTCTAGCCAATCATTTTACCTTTGCAAGGATAGTAGGCAGGCCCAGGTACGTACGTTCTTTTAGAGCAGAGCTACAGATTAAAAATGCCCAAGGCGAAGCGGTAAAAGTCTGGCTGTACTTCACTGTACTTCTCAGCAGCCTGCAACAAGTGCTTTAGGGTGATACTGTGATACTGTGCAAAGGACATAACACCTCGAATGTGATGAAACACCTGGCGATGCATAATGTTTTTTTAAAAGCCGAGAAATGCACCGTATTTCATAGCTTGCTGCAAGACCTCACACCGAGCAGCACATCTACTGCGGGTGTGGTGCCTGTTATCGGACCCGGAGTTAGCGACATCCCCCAAGAACCCAAAGAGGAGAGTCCTGGCCCCTAGCCCTGCCAGTGTAGCAGAAATGATGACGGATGATGATGCAGCAGCAGTCGTTCTTCTCTGGGTGAGTAGCTTAATGTTGTTCGTGTGTAATTTACGCTGAGTAGGCTAACCACGTTATTAAATTAATGCATGTAAGGTGAACTAGCAAACACTGCCGTAGTTACATGCGGCTGTCTTCTTGTTTAATGGCAGATGCTCCCTTCACCCTGGCCAAAAAGGCTAAAATGACCAAAGAAAAAGTGGAAAACAGCTAAACATGAGAGGTTTTTGGACAAAGTTTTTTTTTTTTTTTTCTTCCATTGTTTAAGCACTGCTTCCAGCCAAGAGTGATACCATATATGCCCTATAGCTGCAGAAAAGGCTAGCGTTGTTATCTTATTATAATAAGTTGTAGCCCCAGGGCAGCTGTGGCTACAACTGTAGCTTGCCTTCACCAGTGTATGAATGTAAGAGTGACTGAATAGTGGTATTGTAAAGCGCTTTGAGGGGTCCCAAAAAGCGCTATATAAATGCAATCCATTAAAACAGCTAAACATGAGAGGTTTTTGGACAAAGTTTGTGTTCTCCATTCTTTAAGCACCGTTTAAGCACCGGCACCATTTCAAAAGTACCGGTTTGGCACTGGTATCGGATAAAACCTAAACGATACCCATGTCTAGGAATGAGTCCAACACCGTACTGAAGTTATGCTATGAAGAATTAATGCAGTTCTGATTGCAAAAGGGGTCCATAACAGGTATTAGTCACAGAACTATCATAAAAAATGGATGTGAGTTTTCTGTGTGATAGTTGTCATTTAATTTAGATTGTATCCATCTATTATTAGGCATCACTGTATATAAAAAAGTGGTTATAATTACACCATAGCTATAGACCTCTAAATTAAAATAAAACAACTTATTATGTATGTATGTTATCTGATATGCAGAAATACAGAATGCAGAAAAAGATGCCTGGGGTAATTTAGAAATGGTGCCAAACTGTGGCATGACTGACCCCACTGGATGCCTTTGTAAAATGTGGAAACTATCTAATGTTTGCAACATTATTAGAATGAACATGAGCTGCTAATTGAACCAGAAGTCTGAATCACAGTCAGTTTTGAAGCCTTTGTACCAACAAACCCATCTCACATGGTCTACCATACCACACCAAAGAAAGAAAGGTTGAATGAAGAAGCCATGTCAGTGTATTTCTTTGTAATGACGTTGGATGTCTGACCGATGAAAAGCTGTGACATGCTATTGAAACTGGTATTATTTTTCTGAGGAAATGGGAACTTTCTTTGTTTTTTTAAATGTGCTGTTTTATACTAAAAAGTCATTAAATATTGTGACGCTGAAAAAAAGTTGGTGTTGAAATCCAGGAAATTTCTAACAGTTATGATTTACTTACAGCTTCAGCGCCAAAGGAAGAGTAGTGGAGAACTTCTCCTTGCAGGAAGAAAAATGACTGTTGTTGTGTTTCTGCAAAGAAGAATTCAGCTCAAAGTGACATGTTTTGACCATATTACTGCACAAGGAGAGCAAAGACAAATATACAGTGGTCCCTCGTTTATCATTCTAAAAATAACCCGCGATAGGTGATATCCACGAAGTAGCCAACTTTATTTTTTACAATTATTATAGATGTTTTACGGCTGTCAAACCCCTCACTACACACTTTATACAGTTTTCTCAGACAGGCATGAACATTTGCACACTTTTCTCTCTTGTTTAAACACTTTTAAAGTTTAAACCTTTGTAGAAAAATAAGTCCAGTATTATAGAATGAAACTAAAGATCAAACCCTGTTTTCAGGTCCCGAACATGGCAATGGAGCAGCTGTAAGAGAATACAACATTAATGAATCAATGGTACGGAAGTGAAGGAAGCAAGAAGAATGAGTTGAGTAAAGTTTGACTTATCTGGCTTTTTTGTTTCGCTTAATGCGCCTTATAATCTGAAAAATACAGTAACTCCTACCTTCCTTTAGCATGTCCAGAAGTCCAGCTTGTTGTGCGATAGTGTGATGGCTGCGCTTACAGCCACACGCTGGTAACATCCACCATGTTAGTGTAGAAGCTTATACATAACATTGCGTTCACATTTGTCTTTCTTTAAATATGGGAATTAATTTACAGGACAATGAATAACTGGTTTGGTTCAGAATTAATCAGTATTGTTGTCAACTTTGAGTAGAGTTCTGTTATTTTGACCTCTTTTATTGGCCCAAGATTTTGATTCTTTTTGTATGATTTAACCAATTATGTTTTCCTTCGCTGCTCGGTCCATCACAGATAGTTAGCATCTTCCTCTGCCTTTTGGGTGCTACCGCAGGTGCATAATGTTTCATCTACATTGTTGTGTTTGTTGGGGGGAAAATTTATAAATATGCAGTACAGCACTTCAGAGTCATACTGCTAGTGATCGCAGATTTATGTAAATTCGACAAGCTGAACGCATTCTGTACTGTGCAGGAGACATGGCATGGAGGAGACTGATTGACAGTGGTCTACAGCCAATGAGGACGCAGAACACAATGCGCTGTAAAAAAAAAGCATGCAAAATTGCACACAAAAAAATCCGCGAAACAGCAAGAGCGCGGAAGGTGAACGGCATTATAGGGAGGGGGCACTGTAGACGGAAATCACACCGCATGTATAAACATTAAAAGTTCACCAAACACAATTACAGCACTACCTTTGATAACTTACAGCTGACTACTTTTATTAGTAAACATTCATAAACATGGTTTATTTCATTCACATCGTTGGTGATCTTGCACCTGCTGCAGACTAATGACAAAGTCGTGACTTATTCTGGAGTACAGAAACTTTCTTTTTTAAATGAACTGTGGCTACAAAAAGCAACCTCGGAACGAGAGCTTGGTAAATCTGCACCACTAATACAACAATTACAAAACCTAATGTACATTATAAACATTCAAGGTATTCAAAAACATTGCCATGTAGTACCTTGTGTCCACTGGGAACCCTTTATAACAGCACAAACTTAACCTAACTGTCCTTCTTGACAAGGATGAGCTGATGCTGGTTTCGGCTGATCTGTTTTTACCTCTGCTCAAAGTTTACATTTTAAAATATTTACATACAAAAATAAGATATACACCCTTACTATGTCATTTTTTGATCAGATCAGTCAGCAGTAGCCGTAGGCACTGCTGCAAACAGGGACTCTGTTACACAATACAAACTAAATATAAATTTCCCAGCAGACAGAAGGGCTAAAACTAAACATAAAGACATGATGCTTACAGTTGACTTGTAGAGGAGTGCAGAGCCGCTGGGATTGCTGCTGGCACAGATCATATGGCTGAAGTCTATAAGCTTCAATTCTGACTTAAATATAGCTCAAAGCTATTAAATTTATGTGTTTTAAGTGGATTTGTATGAGTGAGTGTGTCCAAAATTATATATTACAATATAATATCGCATATTTGTTTTATAATTCTCTAAACCAGGAACGCAACTATATGTTTTAACAAGTAGTGATTGTTTCGTCTGGGGAAAAAACTCAGTGAACGGCTTTTTGGTTTATATTCAACTGTCCAGACAGATTCGCATCTCCACCCTTCAAGCTCAGTGTTGCACATACAGTATGCTGTAAATTTGATCAGCCAGTACAGACATTTAAATTCTAAGCTGACCAATAAACTCACCAGTCTGTACATGCCAGTTCCAGTATGATAAACTCACCAAAGAGCCTCTGTAATTATCTTATTTTGCGTCTTTTTATGAGGACTGGCTAACTCTATTTATATTGTATATTCTTTTCAAACTTCCCTCTCCTGGTGCCTAAATAATGCATACTTTTTGACTCGATAATTCAAAAATGTTTGAACATGGTTGCATTTGTGGTGTTTAGAGTAAAGAGAAGATGTTTCTGACTATGAAATGTAAAGGGACCTATGCGCTTAGACAGAAGTGCTGTCGGACATCTTTGGAAACCCCTCCGCACTCACACACACACATCTACTTTACAAAGACAAGACACGACCCAAAGTAAGACAATATGCAGTGTTGCTCTACTGTAAATGAACTAACTCTTTGACATCATTTAGTACAGTGCAGTAAGACATTTCTTGCTCTGGTGCAAACATCTTGCGATAACATTGCTGTACGCAGCTGTTAAAACCAGCCTGCCCTTCACAATGTTCCTGACTATTTAAGGATGAGCAGAAAAGGCTGGAGTATTAAACTGGCCGTGTAGACTCTGGACTGCCACGCCGCTTTTTCAGGAAACACCCTGTTGGTTTCCATCATACAAAAACAGTCTCAGGTTCGACCCCGCAGCAACAATTATGTGTCCATCAGCCACCGCATGTCCTTGAGTATCCCAGCTTTAAAAAAATAAAACCCCAGGTCGGAGGGGGTGGCGACGGAACCAAATGTAGGATGTGGCCTTGATTTACCCGGAAGCAGCAGGATGGCTGAACGTCTCAGGCGGTTTATTCTTAGTGGACAGACGGGGGAGGCTCAGGCAAGGCCTGGTGCCATGCGAGGGGGCGACAAGGCGGGTGCGACGTCACAGCCAGAAGTAAGCGTGGGCCGGGGCGTGGTTGGGGATTAGGGAGGTACTGGGCTGTGGGTTCAATTGCTGCTGAGGCGGAAGGAGAAAGTCAGCAAAATGTCTGAGAGGAGGACAACTTTGCCTTCCTCCTCACTCTCTGTGGGTACAGTAAAACTACTGGATGTGGTGGATCAGCAGTGTGTGTGTGTGTGTTTTTGAGATCAGCTATTACTAGAACATGTAAATATCCCAATAGGAGGAAACTGTTTTGCTGCTAAGACATGTGACCTTGACTGAGTCGATTTACTGTATTTATTGTGTATACTGAATATAAATGTGTATTTGTGTCCGATTGAATTACATGGCTTTGTATATGTTTAAATGTGAACTGTATATAAACACATGTATATTTATATGTACGAGCCCCCAGATGTGCATATTGTATCTGTATATGCTGTTTAGACATGCTTTCTTTCTGTATGTGTGTGCATATTATGTTATCGCACTGTTTCTATTAACCCTCCGCAGCCTCTGGCTCCTTCTTCTTCTCTTTCACTTTAACTGATGATCTCCTGGACACTTTTTTGTCTCCTGCCTCCTTCCCTTCCTTCTCTTTTTCCTTCTCTTTCTTCTCCTTTGATGACTCCTTCTTCTCCTTGGAAGAAGATGATTCCTTCTTGGACTCCTTCTTTGCCTCCTCTTTGGGCTCTTTAGTTGACTCCTTTTTGGATTCCTTCTTCTCCTTGGATGACTCCTTCTTCTCCTTTTTTGTCTCCTTGATTGGCTCTTCTTCTTTTACGTTCGCCTCTGATGGTTCCTTGGACACCTCTTTCTTCTCTTTTTCTAGAGAAGAAAATAAAAAATATGTAAATTTCCTTACATATGATTTAATATCTCTACTTCTTTATTCAAAAACATTACATTCATCACATTCAGTATCAGGTCTCAGCCAAAGTGATGCCGAAGTTGAGAGTGACAAGGGAAGCCTGGGAAGAGCTGTAGAAGCCTGCTGTCACCGTGACCTAAGCGTCAGAGAAGGGTAATAAAAAAGATGGCTAGAGGTTTGGTCTGAAAGATCAGAAGGTCACAAATAGTAAATTTAAGCTTGATTTGACTCTTAGGTCCAAAAAGTCTTAATTAATAGCTAAGCTGAGTCTAAATTGAATTGTCACTTATTTATTCTCACTTCAACTAACTCATGAAGGCCAATCTTGGCATCATAGCAAGTTTAAACCCTTGATTTTGAATTAAGATCAAAAAACAGTCCTAAATCCATCCATGTGGCTGCAGTTAACAAGGGGCCTGCAGCCAGAGGAATTAAACTGCAGGCACAGTTGTTTAAGACTGTTAAATTATTAAATGCAATGAATGAGACGGATTAGAAATAAAACAGAAGACGAGCAAAAGTAGTAATTGTATTATTTTGCAAAACCATGTCGATATAAGTGAAACTATTAGTTGCACTTATATTATTCATTTAACAAAGTTAGTTGCACTTATATTGTTAGAAAAATCCTAAAACCCCTGATGTTTTAGTGGGTATAAGGAACCCCCAAAATAATGACATAATGGTACTAGAGAGCATTAATGTGAAAAAAAATCCACCATCCATCCATCCATCCATCCGCTTCCGCTTATCCTTTTCAGGGTCGCGGGGGGCGCTGGAGCCTATCCCAGCTGTCATAGGGCGAGAGGCAGGGTACACCCTGGACAGGTCGCCAGTCTGTCGCAGGGCCAACACACAGGGACAGACAACCATTCGCACTCACATTCATTCGCACATTCACACCTAGTGACAATTTGGATTTTCCAATTAACCTATCCCCACAAGCTGCATGTCTTTGGACGGTGGGAGGAAGCCGGAGTACCCGGAGGGAACCCACGCAAACACGGGGAGAACATGCAAACTCCACACAGAAAGACCCCGGCCTGGTGTTGGAATTGAACTCATCCAGCATCTATCATTTTAAATACCAGTTCAGTCAAACACTCAGCTATTACAATAATACGGGGTTATGCTGATGTTGCTTTAAGATGATGATGCTAATGCTATAAAACAAAGATGAGATCAGAGTGGCAGCGGATCCGTGCCAGGATAATTGTTTTTCTGCTGTCTGACAACAGGAGCCGAAAAATATGAAAATAAAAATTATAAAGTGAATCTGTGACCACAATGTTGTGGAGAGGACTGACTGGAGCAGCTTTCCCACAGGTGGTGGCCTAGATGCAGTTTTGTTGTTTACAAACTGCAAAGAGAATAAAGAAGAAGAAGGGATTTAGCCATGTAGACACACGCAAAGACAATGGTGCTGTTCAAAATGTTAATGGGCCACAGATTCTCTCAGACAACTTTAGATGGGTTGTATTTTAAGTCCATTAGGAGTAAGAATGAGGATTAACTAACGTTTACCCAATCAGCCTGTGTTTTAACAGAGTGATGCAAATACACTGCAACTCCCACGGGTCTTTAAAATTAAGACAAATTGACTGACAACAGCACCTGCTGCATGACAAAGGACCCCCACTTAACTAGAGTCAAGGGTGGGCCCTTGCAACCACACACACACAGACACTCACACACATGCACACACACACTCTGCAGCGCTGCCTTCGCTGGATTGGCTTTCTGATAAGGTGATAACAGTACGGGCGTCTGCCAACAAAGAGACACGCTTCTTATCTCCATGAGAATGGAGAGGGTTTTTCAGACTGGAGACTACAGCCTGGTATCTCACTGTGTGTGCGTGCGTATGGAAACACACACAAGAGCTACCTCTTAGAATATCTGCCAGTGTTTACGTGTGTGGATGAATCTGTCTTTGCATGTATGTGGTGGAGACTACAGACTGCTCCCTAAAGACTGCGCATGTTCACAGACTCCAGAGAGAAGTTCTAATCAGACAGTCCATCGTCTAGGGCTTAAGAAAGAGAGACTCTGGTAGTATGTGTGTGGGTGTGTGTGTGGCAGATGGGTGTCTGTGTGTGCTGCAAATAGCTGAAAAGTTTTTACTATATCTTTTTATAAAATCACACTTTACATTTAAATTAATCCATTAGATCACGCACCGGGCTTTCGGTGTGTGCTAAAAACAAATTAATGCAATAAAAAAGAACTGACTTTGGCTAAAATACCTTAAATCTCTTAATGACTAGAATCGGTAGTTTGGTGTCTTTTTCATATCTTAAATATGTTGTTTTGTATATTAGTCAAAAGTGGCTAATTTCCTTTAATTGCTAAATCTGCTCACACAGGCAAGAAAATTGAAAACACACATGGATGATAAGACATTAGACGTTATGGTCTGCAGCTTCATTGTTTGAGTCTCTGTTGAACTGTTTAATGGGTGAGACGGTTGATTAAGCCGCTTGTGTTTCTAAGTACACCCACCCAACCAGGTCTAATTAGATCCAAAAAAACCCCACAAAACCCCTTAACTGTGCCGATCCACTTCACGCTCTAACATGCACAAAATCTATCAGCTTCTACAGAACAAGTGAGAACAAATAATTTGGAAGCACAAACAGAGAGAAAGCTGACCGCAAACTGTTCTGCAAAAGAGCAAATTTCCACTTTGGCATGCAAATTCTCCCCCTCCGCCTCTCTCAGTGACCTCAGAAGTTTTATAGTTCAACATGAAAGAAATGTTGGGTGAGGGTGTGTCTCTATCTAAGAACTGCAGCTATAAAGAAATAAAGACCAGAGAGAAAGCACATGCATGTGAAAATAGCAGAAAACATGTACACATCTGTGTTTTTGCAGGTGTGCTACGCCAAAGACACTATGCGCTAATCAATGATTTTCATGTGCATCAACAGCATTGGGGTCTCTGATGGGAGTAATCCTGTAATGACCACCTAATCCCAACTGGATGGTAACTATCTGGCTAGCATTGCAAACACACTTTCTTCCACATCATTCATCAGCAGCTGAGCCAACAGATTCCAGTCTGTGCTTGTGTTGCGCATGTGCATCTGTATCTCTTATGTGCACATTTTTGGGTCTGAGAGATCATTTCATGTGAATAGAGACTCTCTGCAGACGGCAAGACTGAAGTTGACCTTTAAATGATTTTTTAGCATTTTAATTTTAATGTTTTTAATGAACAAGAAGTTATTCACGAAAAGTTAGATGCATATGACAAATTTCCGATCATTTAGGCAAAGCGTATCAGTACTTGTATATGAAAGCCAGGAGCTTGTAGAACCACCTTTTGCAGTAGTAATTGGAAAAAAATCATTTGTGTACGTCTTTATCAATCTCTTACATCATGGTGGGATTTTGGACCTTTTTTATAACGCTGCTTCATTTGATTGAGGTCTGCAGATATTCATTTATGCAAATCTCCCTAAGTGTCCTGCCACAGCATTTAAATCATGCTGAGGCCTGAAGTTTGACTAAAAACGTCAAAGAATCAAGCAACTTGTTGATTTTTTTTCCAGCCATTCTGTTGTAGATTTGGTGGGATCACTGTCCTATGGCATGACCATGGCCATCACATTAAAAAAATTTAAGGTAAGTTGATTTATGTGGGCTGACTTTAACCTTTTATTGGTTTGTAGATGTTACCCTCGCAGCATGGTTCTCCTCTAATCAAATTAATATGAGGACGGAATGGCTTATGTATCATCTAATGGATATATTCTACAAAAGGTCACAATGAAAAATTAATTTAATTAAAATCCTTTTAAGATTTGAGAATAAAGATCATCACCAACATAAGAAAAACCACTTGAAAAAAATGTTTTACAAAAAATGTTTGGTTTTTCTCTAGATGAATAAAGGCTACAAAAGACAAAATGTCAGTACAAATGGTTTGACCATTAACAGGAAATTGAGTTCAGCCTGAAACTAAGCCTAGTAGCACCCAAGTCTTAAACCTGGGTCAAACATCTCTGTTTGATGTCAGAGTTCACAATTTAACCCAATATTGTCCGTTCAGATTAACACTGATGGTAAATCTGTGGCTACAGATGAAGTCAGAACGCACGCAAACAATCATCATGTGAGGCATGGGTCAAACCCCGATATGTTTGGTGTCAAAGGTCCACAGTCCTTACCTCTTAGGTTTGTTTTCACAGCGCAAATAGGTCATACATGTGAATTACAAAAAGGTTGGGCCACCCAGCAATTTAATGTTTTTCTTTTGTGATTAAAAAGATTAACTTGGGTTCTAGCTTAGCAGAAAGCTGGAAATATCTAGCCAGACAGATTTTATTTTTTGTTCTAGGTATTGAGATGTCTATCATTTTTCACTGTTGTGAAAATTTACCTCGTAGTACGTGAGTGAAGGCATATCTTGGCTACTTCAGGACTAAAACCAAAACTTACTGCATGGATAGAGATAAGCAGGAAGAAAGAAAATGTTCCTTTGTAAACAAATTCGGCTTCTAGCAATCATGTAAAATGGGAAACCTGTTATCTGTGAAAGAATTAGGACACTTCAACTTCTTTTGACAAAAACAAATTCAAAATTCAGTTTGTGTTTATCTTTCTTTCTTTCTTTCTTTCTTTCTTTCTTTCTTTCTTTCTTTTTTTAAATTGCAGGTCAGATACAGTAAGTCTAAGTTGGGAAGATGAAAGATAAAACTTTCCAAATGACCCAAAACAAATCTTCTGCAGTTCTGTGGTGCACTTTGTTGTTACTTCTGAAACACCTCGTGTCCATACTTGTATAAAAGCTAACAGCTAATAATGACCAACATACCACTTTTTTTTGCTTCTGTTATAGTTTTGTGGTGCTGAATGGACAGTTCCCTAAAAATGATTTTGCATGCATCTTACAGTTTACTCCTGTTATCATGTATGCTTCACTGTCACAACACTTTTTTCATTAAAGTTCGAC